CATACTTGCTAGTAAGTGCAATACTTTGCAAAAGTTTGTGAGAAAAAGCTTGAACGCTGCAATCAAATTCTATAAATTTCATTCAAAAATATTGCACATCGATCTCAGTTTTTCATGGCCACCTCGACAGCCTCGACAACAGACATACAATCAACTCTTGATTGTGCTACTGACTGGCGCTGGGAGCCACAGACTTGACACTTTTATTCTATTTGAAAAATTGGCATGGGCCTTGTTACCTACATGGGCCTTATTATCCTAAGTTACCTTATGCTACAAATGGAAACAAATTCACTTGAGGAGCTTCCTTGGAAATAGCGTGGCGTCGGTTCCTTCTCACTTATCACTTTTATTCTATTGTAAAAAATTAGCATGCGCCTTATTACCCTAAGTTACTTTATGCTATAAATTGAAACAAATTCACTCGAGGAGCTTCCTTGGAAATAGCGTGGCGTCGGTTCCTTCTCACTTATCACTTTTATTCTATTGTAAAAAATTAGCATGCGCCTTATTACCCTAAGTTACTTTATGCTACAAAATGAAACAAATTCACTCGAGGAGCTTCCTTGGAAATAGCGTGGCGTCGGCTCCTTCTCACTTATCACTTTTATTCTATTGTGAAAAATTAGCATGGACCTTGTTACCTACATGGGTCTTATTATTCTAAGTTACCTTATGCTACAAATTGAAACAAATTCACTCGAGGAGCTTCCTTGGAAATAGCTTGGCGTCGTTTTTTTCTCACTTATCACTTTTATTCTATTGTAAAAAATTAGCATGGGTCATATTACCCTAAGTTACTTTATGCTACAAATTAAAACAAATTCACTCGTGGAGCTTCCTTGGAAATAGCGTGGCGTCGGTTCCTTCTCACTTATCACTTTTATTCTATTGTGAAAAATTAGCATGGACCTTGTTACCTACATGGGTCTTATTATTCTAAGTTACCTTATGCTACAAATTGAAACATATTCACTCGAAGAGTTTCCTTGGAAACAGCGTGGCGACGTTTCCTTATCCCACAGTATTTAAATAAAACTGGGTGTCCAGGAGGGAGCGTCGTTGAAGCATTTCCGTCTCGCAGTCGACCTCCGAATCGCTCTGTCTCCCTCGATCGGCCTTCCGCAAGTTCCGATTCTTTAATTCGAGCGTCTCTCTCAAGTCGGAACAGGGCCGCGGCGCTCGTGGTGGTCAGGTATGCAAGGCTTGCAGACGAAAAAAATAAAAGGAAAGGAGAAAAGGGAAGAAAGACAAAAGGAATGCACCTCGACTGGGAACGGCAAGAGCGGGTAGAGAAAGAACGCGAGAGCGACGGAACGGCGGACGGAGGAAGAACACGAGAGCGACAGAACGGCGGACAGAGAAAGAGAGTTTGGCAAATCGGGGGCGGGAAGAAAATGACGAAAGAGAAGGAGAAAGGAAGAGAACAATACGGGCCGGGAGTAGCTTGACCCTTGCGACCTAGTGAGTCTAAACAATCGGCTGATCGGCCCTTGAAATCTTCGGCTCCTGGGAACGTGCTCTAACTTTCGAGTTCAGCCCTGCCATCCGGCCCGTTCGTCGACCGTTCGCCAACTCCGATCGCTTTTCTTTTTCGGCTTAAACGCAATCGCGTCGCATTCCGTACGAGCTTTGGGTCTTTTTTCATTCCGGCTCTTTCGACACACCTCGCCGCAACCGGCGTCGCCGGCACGGCGACCGTCGCTCTTCGGGAGGGCTTAAGGTGAAGTGAAACACGTCGAGGAACTTGATCGACGTCGATAAAGAAGATTTTTCTAAATGCCTACGTTGCCGACGTTCGTTTTTATATTGACAGCTGGGTCGAATTATATTGGGTATTGTACCAAATGGCATATTCCACCTGTCGTTTTCGTACAATAAACATCAAGAAATCGAAGTGAAACTCCAGAAATCCTCTGGATTCATGCCTTCTGAGGCCCTAATTGACTGCGGAGGGACCTCCTGCGCCATCTGTGATTTCCAGGTCAATTAAATTTTCACTCCGAGACCTCGTATTACCATCGTTTTAGCAAAGAAGCGCATACAACACTTTTCTTGCCTTTATCCCGTTCAAATGCGAGTTTATCGATTACCAGAGTGTTCTAAATTGTCATAAAATTGTCCTGACCCTTTCGATTCTCATATCAGAGCCTTCGATAATTGTATATTGATCGAAATATGAGAGCTCGACGCCATTTTGGTTCTGGTCTGGACTGAGTTAAAATTTTTTTTGAGAAATCCAAATTTTGAATGTGTCAGGACAATTCTTAGATGATCAGGAGTGATGTGTCAAAATTTCGGACGGTTTGGTCTAATACCCTTATAAAAAAGTGTTGTATTCAAATCGACTGATTTGTTGAAGGGTGTTTCACTTCACCTCAAATTGTACCACTGCGATAGTTAAGGAGACATCCTAAAAAATAGCAATCTAACTGAAAACGTGTGAACTTAAGGTGAAGTGAAACCCCCTTCAAATCAGTCGATTTGAATACAACACTTTTTTTTAAGGGTATTAGACCAAACTGTCCGAGATTCTGATACATCCCTCCTGATCATCTAAGGATTGTTCTGACAAATTCAAAATTTGAATTTTCGGAAAAAATTTCTTAACAGCCCAGACCAGAACCAAAATGGCGTCGAGCTCATACATTTCGATAAATATACAGTTATCGAAGGCTCTGATATGAGAAACGAAAGGGTCAGGACAATTTTACGACAATTGTGAACACTCTGGTAATCGATAAACTCGAATTTGAACGGGATGAAGGTAAAAAAAGTGTTGTATGCGCTTCTATGCAAAAACGATGGGAATACGAGGTCTCGCAGTGAAAATTTAATTTACCTGGAAATCACAGATGGCGCAGGGTGTCCCTCTACAGTCAATTAGGGCCCCAGAAAGTATGAATTCAGAGGATTTATGGAGTTTTACTTCGATTTCTTGATGTTTATTGTACGAAAACGACAGGTGGAATATGCCATTTGGTACAATATCCAACATAATTCGACACTGCTGTCAATATAAATACGAACGTCGGCAACGTAGGCATTTAGAAAAATCTTCTTTATCGACGTCGATCAAGTTCCTCAACGTGTTTCACTTCACCTTAAATAGTAGAATCTTCCCCATATTTGGGACTCCATCACTCCGGCGGGGGTTCAAAAATCCCCCTGGGGCGAAGGTCCTTTATGAATTCATTTATCTTTGTTGAGGCCATTTTTGGGATGATTATTTGTTTGTAACTCCTGCTGAAGTTTATGCATTGAGAAAAATAGTTGGTTAACTCAAGAAATTATGCACTGCGACAAGGAAAAATCCTGCGATCGAATACGTCCAAAGAAATATCAAATTAAGTAAACAAAATTATTTTATTGAATCAAACCAAGGTAAAGTAGTACCTGATAATAGATATTTTGTTCCGCGGTCAATCTGCTTTAATTGAGTCAATATTTTCTGAAGGTTGAAATAATGTTAGATCAATGCTTAGCAGGATTGGATCAATATTGACTATTTATGCATACAAACTCGACTGTTATGATTATGGACGTTTTTAGATGTATTAAATTCCTGTGTTACTGTCAGTATTTCTCTGTATTTTTAACTTTAATTTACGAAATATCATTCTTTGCTGCTCAAACTGGTTTTTCGGTGATCTCTTCGTTTTCTTTGTCTTCACGCCGAAGTAATGTTTTCCTTCTGAACGCAAACTTGAAGTATCGGAAATCTGAAAGAATAAATTAGATCGGCATTATGACTTTAACATTTAATACAATACCGAGTCAAATAAACGAACGGTAATCTTTACCACTTGCGAAAAAATCCGAAATCAAGAGTGCCTAGCAATCGCACCGAACATTTAAATTATATACGATTGAGGAAAATATGTCAACAAAATATACTTGTTCAGTTCAACAATTTCTGTTGCCATTGTAAATATTTTAATCTTTCGTTCAACACTACGAACGTTTCATCCACTCACTCATTTTGTGTGATTAATGACATCAACGTGTCATTTCTACTAAAAATGTAGGTGATTGAAACAAATTTATTTAATTCGAGGCAATCACATAATCGATTGATAAAATTGCATATTCGAATAAAACCATTCGTTTAAATCAACCACATCAATTTTTCTTCTCAACAAAATAATTGTTTCTTGCAATCATATATGATTCAGGCAACAGTATATATTTATTTCAGTCAACCAATCGTTTTTCTCAATGTGGTCTGCACGTATATGGAAGTTCCACCGTATCGTGATCTTATCCCTAGGCTCTCTAGTTTTAAATTATAACCTATGTTTCTTGGTTCCTTAACTAACAAGGAAGGTACCTGAGGTGTCCCCCTCCGATTTTGTTCATTTTTCAATATGTTATAGAGGACTAAAATCTAAGGGACCCGTGTTTTTCTTTTATCGGCGGATAAACACTTTTAGAGGGTGAAATCAGGCTTCAAGGTTGGCCGTGCAAGGGGGTGAGTTGGTTGTTTCATATACAAGCACTCGACCGATTTTCATGAAACAACCGTCAAAATGTAGGGAATGAAGAGTTATGAAACATGCATTTGGAATTTTTCGAAAAAATTCATTTTTAAGGGGTGAGCCACCCCTTTAAATACTTCTTTTACCTCTTACGCGAGCAGTAATTGCTCTATCCAAATGAAACTTGGTTAATTTATAGTCCAGAACAATACAAAAAAAGTTTCATTTGGATGGAACAATTACTACTCGCGTAAGGAGTAAAAGAAGTATTCAAAGGGGTGGCTCACCCCTTAAAAATGAATTTTTTCGAAAAATTCCGAATGCATATTTCATAATTCTTCATTCCCTACATTTTGACGGTTGTTTCATGAAAATCGGTCGAGTGCTTCTATATGAAACATCCAACTCACCCCCTTGCATGGCCAACTTTGAAGTCCGATATCATCCCCTAAAAGTGTTTATCCGCCGATATAAAAAAAACATTAGTTCCTTAGATTTTAGTCCTCTATAACATATTTAAAAATGAACAAAATCAGAGGGGAACACCTCAAGTACCTTCCTTGTAAGTTACTTTACTCCAAAACTTATATTTTACTTCAAAATCGTATGTCTGTAAAAATCTACACAATTTTCTATTTCATCTAACTATATAATAGAAATTAAAAGTAAATGTAATCGAATTAAGATGTGACGAGCCGCGTTGCCCGACGCCAGGGCTAGGGCAACACGACGCACACAGGCCAGCCGCGCACCGCGCAACGCCGGGACATATGCGACCCGACGCACGCGGTTACATGTAACGCAAGCGGCCGCAGCGCGGCGCTGATACGGTTTCGGCGCTCTCGCATGCGAGGCGAGCCGCGGCAGACTATATAGCGGCGCCCAAAGCAGCATAAAGGGAGAAGCTACGGAAACGCGATTACACGCACTGCCGATGGGAAGAAACCGAACTAAGTAGATCCACAGATTCTCACAGGGACCGCAGGACGAGACCTCGGTTCAGGACAGTCGCGAAATTCGAGTCACGACTAGGCGAGAGAAGCGAGTGAGACAGACCTTTGATTGAACAATAGGATAGAAGTCACAGCGATTATATTAGATCGAGTAGTATCCCGTGTTGGGAACGCCATTCCACTTGAGGAATGCCGAGCACATAGTAAAGTACGAATTTGTCTTTTTTCTTTTGTATCTCTACAACGGAGGTTTCGACGGCAGAGCCGCCCGGGGGAACACCCCTGTCAATAAACGTTGTTACTGTTACGCATTGACCAAGTTACTCCACCTAAACTTTAGCTGCGCACGTCAAACACTCCGAGCCAGGGGGTCGACACTGCCATGTATTGGGGTGTAACGCATTATGCACTACCGCCATCATTGGTTGGAGTAAGCCTTCTTCGTGAACTAAAATATTTGGCGGGCTATTCAAATTCATTTATTAAACGAAGGGATATTTTCGGGATTTAAAAAGTACTTGCAATGATCAAAACAGACGTTGCTTAAACTGACACATAAATGTAAGAAAACAGTATATTAAACATAAAAGAAGTAACAAAAGTGTCAGTGGCGCAACGCCTGTTTTAAATCACTATAAGAACTGAAATAATTACATTAAACATTAGTTAAAACGTAACATATTTATTAAGATAAAAATATTAATTATTATGAATGTATAAATATACAAATTCTATACAAATTTAATTTTTGTTATGATTACTTTGATGGATTAAATGTGATCTATAGATCGCATTTAATCCATTTAATTATTATAATTATTATAGTAAGAAACTACAAACTGTTCTTGATTTACACTTTTACTCACAAACTCACGTTCGCTATTCAATACCCGAGGTAATCGAAACTTGTAAAAATATTGCCTCTAATCGAGGTTAGGTTCACTTTGGTTCATTTGTCCCGACTATTTTTATGCGCATCTACGCTGCGCCTTCTGGAGTCTCTTGCTATTGGTTAGAAAATTTTTTCTCTGTTCTTCTCTTTCTATTAGACTGAAAAGTCACGACACCAGCGCAGTCTTTGCTTGGAGTAGGTGAACTAACTTCAGCGTTACACCTCTCCCATAAGGAGTGTCGACCCCCTGCTCCGAGCGGCTACTGTCTCGGGAAGAGAATCGAACGTAGTCCGTGACGTACAGGGCGCCACCTTACCTGTGGTGCTACCAGCCTACCGTTACAAAGAAGAAATTAAAAACTTAATTTTAATGGAACATTTTATTTGGAGTGCACTAAAATATTCACGATAAGTCGTATAAGTATACTTCAAGTGCTCACCCAATAAAGTGTTGTTTTCAAATTGACTTTCTAATTTATTCTTTATTTAATTATATTTAGTTTTTAATTTTTATTATTTGGTTAGATAAAATAGAAAATTGAGCAGCTTCTACAGACATACGATTTTGAGGGAAAGTATAAGTTTTGGGATGGACGTACATACATTACGCGGGACAAAATGTACTATAACATTTGGCAATATACTTGATTTCAGTTTGTACAAGGATGTAGTACTGTCGTATGTAGTTTGTCAAGTACTGTCGTATTTAACAAAAATAGTTGATTTCCATTTTTCATAAAAAAAAAAAACGATTTGAACTATTTTTGTAATTGAAAAGGGAAACAAAAGTGTATTTGGAAGTAAGGATTTACTTATCTTCCACCTTGAACCTTCCATGTCCTCTCTTACCGTGCTTCCACATTTCACCTTCAACACCTCCTTCATATTCTTTTCCGATCCACTTGATACCTTTTCTCATCTCTTTCATCTCCTTTAAGATTTCTTCCTTTCCCTTTTCTTTGCGCCTTCTTTTTCTCTTTCCGTTTCCTTCTCTAATGACTTTCCTACGCACACATCAACGCATTTCTCTCATTACTCAATACTATGATTATCTCGCATAACTGTATTTGGCTTGAAACTCTACCGAATTCCTTTAACGCTCTACGGGTTCCGTCATTTATACTAGCCTCGTAATTATCAATTTGAAACGATTTGCAAAGAAATTTGAACCCTTTTAAGGAAACAAGTCTTGTGACATTTCAATTATGGTCTGTTACAGCTCGGGAGTTAAAGACGTGCGCAGGTGTCAATTATGGCGGCGAAGTGTGCTGTTCGGCCGATATGGAGGTGAGACTTCAAGCCCGCGCTCGCGAGAAGCATGACAAGGCCACCAGAGATACTCTTCATCGTCTGCAGCAGCTCTTGGAGACGAGGGGCACTCAATTTCACAGTGAGTATTATACCCGCAAATCTCCGACAACTACTTGTACGTCACACATCAAAGATCAGCTAATGTCTTCGACTCGAGTACAATGTTGCAAAAGCTCTTTGTAAGGGTAGGCTGTTGATACTTCAAGTTAGATAGCACCCCAGACGCCACGGTCTACGTTCGGGTGTCGTCCTGAGATTGTAGCTGTTCGGAGCATCGGCATATGCGGCTGGGGTCTAGGTGGAGTGATTTACTAAGTATGTAACAATTAACAATAGTTTTATTCAGTGGGCTGCGGCCCATACGACTCTACCGCAGCTGTTTCCTTCGTGGAGTTACAAAGAAACATAATATTCGTTTAGGTAAGAGCTATATGACCCTACGGGAACCGCAAATGTTAAGGGCGCTCACCACTCCAGTGATATTGTAGGAGCTCATGGGGACAGTAATTCCGGACGTGTTTCTTAACCGATCGAATTCAACGTGTGCTCATATCAAAGATAAAACGTTGACTCGTGTTTATATGGAAACAATTTTCGATAAGTGGTCATTTTCATATAAAAAAATTCAACGACCAAATATGGATACTCTTTTAACTAGGAAAGTGGGGCTTTATTGAAAATAGCTTCCATATAAACCCGCGTCAACGTTTTATGTTTAAGACGAGCCCTTGTTGAGCTCGATCGTAGGAAAAATACGCTTAAAATCGCTATCCCCGTGGAGCATGCTTTTCAGATTCGCCGTGAGTAATTTGAACACTCCTTGGCAACCGTTGCCAAATCTAGGAGGAGCATACAACAGGTGTGTGCGTGAGTCCAGGTGTCATGATATCGTATCGGCCTTTCGGCCGACCGCACCTGGAGGGTGAGCCTCCCTATCGGTCCCCCCATTGCTGGGGGGTTACACTCCCTACCCCACCCGGCAACTCCACCGCCAAAGGGGCCCGAAGGCCCAGGACAGGCTGNGTCGCGTCTCCCTCATCCGAGCGAGAAAGTACGTTTTGGTTACCTCCCATCGAATTTAAGGCTAATGCCATCTAGCGGCAGAGTAGGTCTTCCCCATTTTGATGGAGAACGTCGTTAAACAAACGGTCGCTACTCTCTCTATTGTGCTGTGTAAGGCAACGTGCACATACTTCGACCGTCGCCAAAGACCACCCATTGCGCGTCGCGTCTCCCTCATCCGAGCGAGAAAGTACGTTTTGGTTACCTTCCATCGAATTTAAGGCTAATGCCATCTAGCGGCAGAATAGGTCTTCCCCATTTTGCTGGTGAACGTCGTTAAACAAACGGTCGCTACTCTCTCTATTGTGCTGTGTAAGGAAACACGCACATACTTCGACCGTCGCCAAACACCAACCATTGCGCGTCGCGTTTCCCTGATCCGAGCGAGAAAGTACGTTTTGTTTACCTTCCATCGAATTTAAGGCTAATGCCATCTAGCGGCGGAGTAGGTCTTCCCCATTTTGATGGAGAACGTCGTTAAACAAACGATCGCTACTCTTTTTATTGTGCTGTGTAAGACAACGCGCACATATTTCGACCGTCGCCAAACACCAACCATTGCGTGTCGCGTCTCCCTCATCCGAGCGAGAAAGTACGTTTTGGTTACCTCCCATCGAATTTAAGGCTAATGCCATCTAGCGGCAGAATAGGTCTTCCCCATTTTGATGGTGAACGTCGTTAAACCAACGGTCGCTACTCTCTCTATTGTACTGATTATAAACTATCAGTCCTAATCGTATAAAGTCTTTCTCGCCTTTCGTCCCGTCTTGTTAGAGGTTACTTGTGACGGTCTCCGTCCGAAGTCTCGTCCTGCGAGCCGTATTGCAAGCTCGGCTCTGTACTGGGCTTCGTCCCAATAACAGCGCAAAAATCAGCGCCCCGGAGCTTCTCCCTTCCCTGGCGTTGGAGTGTTCCTATGTTTACGCCACGGACCTTCTCGCGTTCGGGAGAGCGCCTCACCGCGGCCGTTTGCATAACTTCGCAGTGCGCGTCCGGTCATCCGCTCCTTGGCGCTGCGCACCCCGCCGGGCGACGCGACTCATCACATTTTAAGGTGAAGTGAAACCCCCCTCAAATCAGTCGATTCGATTACAACACATTTTTTTTTAAGGGTATTGGACCAAACAGTCCGAAACTTTGTCACAGGACTCGTGGTCATCTAATAATTGTCCTGACACATTCAAAATTTGGATTTTTGGAACAAATTTTTAAACTTAGCCCAGACTAGAATCGAAATGGCGTCGAGATCTCATATTTCGATCAATATACAATTATCGAAGACTCTGATATGAGAAACGAAAAGGTCAGGACAATTTTATGACAATGTACACTCTGGTAATCGATAAATTCGCATTCGAGCGGGTTAAGGGCAAAAAAGTGTATTATGCGCTTCTATGCAAAAACGATGATTTTTACGTACCAAAGTAAATATTTTAGTTCTAGATAAGGGTTGCTATTATGACAAAAAATGTAAGAGATCTTGAATTGCGAAAAAAACTGACCCAAATGAGAGGAAACTAATCACACATCGAATCCGATGCATCTGATACTGAACTATATGAAATAAAGAATCAAGCTAATACGATTGAATTGTCGAGCAGGGAAGATGAAGATCTTCATCGTACAGCTTCTAGAAAAATAAGAGCTTTTTTTCTATCTGAAAGTGAATCAAGTGCTAGTGATAGCGATCGTTATATAACTCTTGGCAAAAAAAGAGTACGATATGTTCCTGATTTTGAAACCGAAAGTGAATTAGACACTGCGGATGATCTGATAATGAAGAAATTTCAACACAAAGGACTGCTGATGGGACATTATGGAAAACATTGAAAGATGGTAAAAATACTAGTAGATTTCCCGGTCATACCAAATTCAAAGACGTCTCAGGGCCAACTTCCTACTTCGAAAGAAATATTATACTTGGTGAAATATTATACTTCCTACTTCAAAAGAAATATTATACTTGGTACTGTAAAGAGTGCTTCCAGAATATATATGTAATAATTGTTTTGAATAAAGTTTCATTAAAATAAAGTTTTATTTTTTTTTAAAACTTAATTTTGATGTTTCAGTCAAATTGACTCATTTCAGGCAAAATAGGTATATACTCAACATCCGACAATCTAGTGTTAAATTTTCCCCTCGAAATAGTTCGGTGTACAAAAATTTAGCCAAATACATTTATCTTTATTTAATTAATTGCAAAAATAGCTCTGATTCCCGTCTTCCTATGAAACCCTCAAATCAACTATTTTTACCAAATATGGTAGAACCATATAGTAGTTCCATTGATCTCTCAGCTAAAATCTTTTTGCCAAATGTCACAGTACATTTGGTTTCACGTTATTGTATGTACAAGATTTTCTGCTTCCTCAAACCGAAGACAAATATTAAAAACTATATCGACACAATTAAAACAATTAGAAACTAAATTTGAAAACAATATTTTATTTCGCGAGCACCCGAGTTATACTCCTAGCATATGATCATTTTCGTCCTCGTTCCATTCACAAATTTTATGCTAGCTCGGTTTTCGGAAAAAATTGAATTTTTCTGTAGGGATGCTTGGTACTAAAAAAACTAGCACCCCCACAAAAAGAAAACGTATAAACGATCAAGAATAGGTGAAAATTTATTAGCAAATTATGTGTTCTTCTAATATCATATTCATAAATTTAAATTTTTACCCCCATAAGCTCGAAATTGAATTTTTCTCTAGGGATGCTTGGTACTCAAAAAACTAGTACCCCCACAAAAAGAAAACGTATAAACGATCAAGAATAGGTGAAAATTTATCAGAAAATTATGTGTTCTTCGAATATCATATTCATAAATTTAAATTTTTACCCCCATAAGCTCGAAATTGAATTTTTCTCTAGGGATGCTTGGTACTCAAAAAACTAGCACCCCCACAAAAAGAAAACGTATAAACGATCAAGAATAGGTGAAAATTTATCAGCAAATTATGTGTTCTTCGAATATCATATTCATAAATTTAAATTTTTACCCCCATAAGCTCGAAAATCCACCCCCTATCCTTCAGACACAAAAGGTAACTGCTTATTTGGGCATAGAAAATCAAAACTTTCTACGCTTGAATTACCCACAGAATTATGTGCTTTAAGAATACTGTAGCGTCAAATTTTGTAGTCCAGCCCTTGTCCCTGAAAATCTACCCCCCTCACCGGTTCACAAGAGATAACTATATGATAGCGTGGAGAACATTAATCCTTTTTACGATTAAATTACTCCGTGAATTATACGCTGTTCGAATACCCTAATATCCACTTATGTACTCTACACCGGAGATCCCAAAATCCACCCCCATTAAAAAAAAAAAGAAACGAGATAACTGTATGATAGCGTTGAGCAAATTGAAACTTTATGTGAATGCACTACTACTATTTTTTATCGTTTAAACGTTTTTTTTGTGGGGGTGCTAGTTTTTTAAGGTGAAGTGAAACACGTTGAGGAACTTGATCGACATCGATAAAGAAGATTTTTCTAAATGCCTACGTTGCCGACGTTCGTATTTATATTGACAGCTGTATCGAATTATATTGGATATTGTACCAAATGGCATACTCCACCTGTCGTTTTCGTACATTAATTATGAAGAAATCGAAGTAAAACTTCAGAGATCCTCTGAATTCATGCTTTCTGGGGCCCTAATTGACTGCAGAGGGACCCCCTGCGCCATCTGTGATTTCCAGGTAAATTAAATTTTCCCTCCGAGACCTCGTATGCCCATCGTTTTAGCATAGAAGCGCATACAACACTTCTTTTGTCTTTATTCCGTTCAAAAGCGTTTTTATCGATTACCAGAGTGTTCTAAATTGTCGTAAAATTGTCCTGACCCTTTCGATTCTCATATCAGCGCCTTCGATATTTGTATATTGATCGAAATATGAAAGCTCGACGCCATTTTGGTTCCGGTCTGGGCTGAGTTAACAAATTTTTATAAAAAATCGAAATTTTGAATGTGTCAGGACAATTCTTAGATGATCAGGAGTGATG